TGGTTAGCAGCCCAATGCTTAGCCCTCTATACCACTAAAGCTCCTAAGGTCTGTGGAAAAACCAAAAACTTCATCCTGTGCTGAAGCTGGAGAAGACCTGGCTGGAAAGTCAGGGTGAACACACAAGGAAACGTGTAGAGCAACTCAGGAGTGAACACAGTGGATGGGGTCCTAGTCCTTGCCCAAATCACTTTCTAAGCCTCAATTTTCTTAGCTGCAAAATGAAGACCAACAAGAACTCCTCCCTCCAACGTACCTTCTGTAACCATTTGTCCAGACGAGTACCCTGAGCATCTCTTTCCTATTCTAAAACTTATATACGTTTTTTTACACTGTCCTTCTTCCCTTCTGCAGATCACCCCCATCTTTCAAAGCTAAGCTGAATCCCACTTCTGCAGGAAATCTCTCCTAGTCTTTCTGTTCCAGCAACCCAGGACCCGACCCTAGCTGCCCCCAAGGAAAATGGGCTTGACGTCACCCATTTGACAAATGAAAAGGTAGAGGTGCAGATGCTTGCTGTGGTCAGAGTGTTCATTTGGGAAGGTGACATGGTGATGCCCACCTTTCAGAATGGACCACACAGGTACTTCCCCTAAGCCCTTCGGTCAGGCCTCTCTCAAGCCCAAACCAAACTCACGGCCACGGAGCCGATGCTGACTCCGAGTGAGCCCTTGTGGGTTTCCGAGACTGAGACTGAGACTGTTTGTGGGAACTTTTGCTTGTCAGTTCAGGAGCTATCTGTACACACGTACAAAATTCATTTGAACACACCAGAGTCATCACATCTGAAACAAAAAGCTAATGTTTATCAAAACCCTTTTAATATATTTAAACCACTTAATTGTTTGATATGTGAATTGTGTGTCAATAAAACTTTTATTTAAAAAGTTAATAGCTAAATGAATTTGACTATCAGTGCACAAAAGTATCAAGGCTAGCCTCTCTAAACCCAAGGACTTGACTGAAGTTAAAGTGGAGGTGGACAGGCACTGGCTCGTTTGGGAAATGGCCGTCATAGACCAATGTCACCACTGTGAGCGGCAACATCAAGTCACTGCTGAACGAAGATAAGAAAACACCCGTTTCTTGTTATATAATTCAAAGGAGGCAGTTCAAATCAAACAGCTCTTACTCACGAAAGTAAAAGTGACAGAAAAAGTCTAGTTTAAGTTACATGCGAGGGGGTATCCAAAAAAAACCGGGAAAAAAAGCTCTGCTGGGCGGAACTTTCGTTGTACGCATTATTCCCATTAGCCAAGCACCAACCAACTCACTCTGAATTATTGCACCCAGTGGCGTCGCCTGGGAAGGTTCTCTCTAGTCACAGTGAATTTTTTCGTGAAAGCAGTTTCGCTCGAACCTCGTTTTTTTGTGCTGGTTGATTTAAAAGAACAGCGTGTAGCTGTGAAATGTTTCCTGCTCAGGAAAAATGCTGCAGAAAGTGTTGTGATGTTGAACACAGCTTACAAGGACAACGCTGTGGGAAAAACTCCAGTGTACGAGTGGTTTTCTCATTTCAAAAAAGGTGACATGTTGACTGATGGCAAACCTTGTTCTGAACGTCCATCAACTTCCCGAAAGGATGAAAATGTTGACAAAATTCTTGTATTTGTGCTTGAAGACTGACGACAGACCACCGAAGAGATGGGGAAGCTATCTGGACTATCCCGCGGCTCGTTTCAGTGAATTTTAACAGAATATTTGGCAATGAGAAGGGTTGCTGTGAAATGTGTGCCTTGGGTTCTGACTGACCAGGAAAAAGATGGCTGAGTGGAAACATGCCGTGCTGTCAGAGAACAGCTCCCAAGTGACCCATATGTTTCCAAGGTCATTACTGGTGACGAGACATGGCGCTATGACCCCAGAAGCAAACGATGCAAGCCAGTGGAAGATGCCATCATCACTTCACCCCCCAAAGCTCAAGTTAAGTCAAAGATCAAGACGAGGCTCATCTGTTTTTGGTGTGTGTGTGCTGTTTGTTTTTTTAATGTGAGAGGGATAGTGCATTTGGAATTCATTCCACCAGGTTAGACTGCTAATCAAGCTTTCTATTTAGAGGTTCTGAAAATATTGTGTAACAGTGTGCGACAAAAAAGGCCTGATTTTAAAAAAAAATTATTTTATTAGGGACTCTTACAGTTCTTATCACAATCCATACATCCATTGTGTCAAGCACACCTGTACGTATGTTGCCACCATCATTTCAATATATTTTCTTTATACTTGAGCCCTTGGTATCAGCTTATTTTTTCCCTCCCTCCCTTTCCCATGCTCGCTTCCCTCCCTCATGAACCTTTGATAATTTATAAATTATTATTTTTTTCATGTCGTACACTGACTGTTGTCTCCCTTCACCCACTTTTCTGTTGTCCATCCCCCTGAGAGGGGGTTATATGTAGATCATTGTCATCTGTTCCCACCTCATCTTCCCCTTCCCCCACTAGTAACGCTACTCTCATTATTGGTCCAAAGGGGTCTATCTTTCCTGGATTCCCTGTGTTGCGAGCTCTTATCTGTACCAGTGTACATATTCTGGTCTAGCCAGATTTGTAAGGTAGAATTGGGGTCGTGATGGTGGTGGTGGGGGGGGGGGGTGTAGCGGGGAGAGGAAGCCTTAAAGAACTAGAAGAAAATTGTGTGTTCTGTCAGTGCTATATTGTACCCCGACTGGCTCATCTCATCCTTGTGGCCCTTCTGACCTGGGATGCCCTCCTAACACCTAATCCCATCGACACCTCATGATCACACAGGCTGTGTGCTTCTTCCATGTGGGCTTTGTGGTTTCTCAGCTAGATGGATATTTTTTTTATCTTCAAGCCTTTAAGACCCCAGATGCCATATCTTTTGATAGCCAGGCACCATCAGCTTTCGTCACCACATTTGCTTATGAGCCCATTTTGTTTTCGGCGATTGTGTCAGGGAAGGTGAGTACCACAGAGTGTTGGGTTAGTAGAACAAAGTGTTGTTGCATTGAGGGAGTACTTGAGTGGAGGCCCAATGTCAATCTGCTGCAAAACAGGCCTGCTTTGAGGCAGACAGGAGAGTGGTTTTGCTACTACGACAGTGTATCTGCTCACACAGCCATCTCAGTGCACCAGTTTGGGGCAAAAAACAGCATGCCTCTCTTGCCCCATGCACCTGACTCGCCTGACCTTGCACTATGTGACTTCTTTTTGTTTCCTTGAATGAAGAGGGACATGAAAGAGCAGTGATTTGACAATGTAGAAGAGATGAAAGAGGAAAAATGAGGGTGGTTCTATCAGCCATGCAAACAGATGTGTTTGAAAAATGTTTCCAAGAATGGAATTGCAGATTTGACAAATGTGTTAAGTGTAATGGACAGTATTTTGAAGGTGATAAAGTTGTTCTGTTAAACAAATTAAACACATAGCTTTGGGGGGAAATCCAGTTTGTTTGTTTTTTGGGACCTGCTCGTATATACACAAATATTTATTTTTAGCAACACATTTGGGGGGGGGGGATGAATTTCTTTGACAAATCCAGTCCTATTAGTATTACTGTTGCCTAGTTCCTCATTGTTGCCAAGAGTCACATACAAGTCCCTGGTTGAGACGGGGGAAGAACCCTCCTGAACTAGCACAGAGATGGGCGACTCTGGTTACTATTTTCCTACACTGTGGTCGGAAGGTTCTGAGGAAGAACCGTGTGGGAGTACAGAGGGAAAGGAGAAAACAGTAAGGTGGCCCTGTCTCCATAGCTGGCCACTTTGCAACTTCCAGGGTCCAAGCTTTTCCCTGTCTGCAGGAAGAATGAATGTCCTCCTTGTGAACCCAGGGTTCCAGTGGGGTGTTTTGTCCTTCTGAAAACATGAGTCTGAAGACGTTCTGATTGTTCACAAGTGTGTGTGTTACTGTCATCTATCTGGCAGAAGTCAGGGATGCTGCTAGAAACGAAGTGAACAAGACAGCCTCTACCACACAGACTTATGCAGCGCCCACGTGGGAGGAGTGCCGAGGCTGAGAAGCCCTGCTCAGCCTTTGTCCAAAGGGACAACGCTGTCTCTGTGAGATGTTCTGGGTGTGCAACGCTCTGGCTGGGATGCTCACAGCAGTTCCACAGGTCAGTTCTACTTGGGGGGGAGGAAAGGGGTGGTAGTGGTGGTATGACTCTGGTTTCTTCTTTCATAAGGAGCAAGGGTGATTGTTTCTAGCTTTATGCTTTCCACAGACCAATGGCTAGAGTGATTCTTTAATCCACATCTCTGCTGGGAGACGTGTAAAACCATAAAGTGGCTACACTTCACCGACAGGCAGTCCTGGCAGAGGCGGAGGTTTCTAAGGCCCCCAAAGCAACATAAGACATCCTCCGCTCAAGGAAACACCACCAACCTTGCTTGTCCTGTTACAGCTGGGGGGGGTCTACTGGCTCTCATCGTTCTGACACATCAGATCTTTAAAAAATTAAGAAGCACTTTAGCCCCCTTCATCTCCAGTGATTAACAGTTCCTTTAATCCACGTTCTCTGCTTGGTTCTCCGACAGAGGACCAGGAGAAGCAGTATAATGATAAAGAAGCTTTGCTCTGGGTGTACAATCATTGCATAATCTTGGGATAACAGCCCTTACCCTACAGAGTACCCACAATAGTGTCTGCGGTAGTGAGTCAGTTACTATCACTGTTGATGCTGACCAACAGACTCAGCTCTGATTCACCGATCTTTCATGCTATCAGTCTTAAGCACTTTGATGAGAAAAACAAGCTGATTTCTAAACAAAGGAATCTTTCTTTTCTTAATAAGCTAGAAGCTCAAAGCTACCATTTCAAAATGAAGAGTTAAAACAAATACGTCCTGTCGCCTTAGAGTGACCTTAAAAAGATCTCACTATAATTTTTTTTTTTCTTAAGAAAATGGTTTGGGAGACAAGGCCTAACGAAACCACAGATGGTGAGAAAACCTGTGTGCAGTCCAGAGCTGGAATCAGGCCATGACTGGCTGGCAGGGTCCAGGGGTGCGTACTGGCTGTGTAATACTAGACATACCTTGCTCCCCGTGAGCTGTGCGAGGTGAGGTTTCAGGTCTTCTCCGATTACGGAATAGATGGCCACTAAGCAAAACACGCTGGCCTTCCGCACACTACTTTCGGTGTTGTCATAACCCTGCGGAGCCAGGAAGAACAGAAAAAAGGAAACAAGATCAAAGAATTGTTTCACAGTCAGACTCTATCATCGGTTCCACAAATTCCCTGAGAGTTCCCCGCGAAGAGTCGAGAGTTGCTGGCTCCAGGCCTACCCAAGGCAGCGAGTGCAGAGTGTGCGACAGGACGGCCTCTGAACGACTTGCACGACAGGGCTACCCAACATGTCAGAGGAGGAGCAGAGATCAACAGGACAAAAGAGGAAAAGGAATCAGTAATAAAAGCAACTTGTCCCAATCACATTTCTCCCAAGGGTAAAATAAACTTTATGTGTCAAAATACCTTAAAATAAATGAGAAGACCATCATTGTCACTCTTGTGAACCAGACCTCTCTATCCTCCAGTGACTGCCGGCAGATGCTCAGCAGCCTAGCCTGACATCTAGACTTCTATCTGATTGTCTACCCTCCCCTCCTACCCTCACCGTACGCATGGGGCTCTGCTGTTCTCAGAGAGCCTCAGACACTTATAGCCTGTGTGCTTTCCCTACACCAAGAACAAGGTTCTCAACAGCATGGAATTTGCCAAACCAAGTAGTCAGCAATCAGTAGCATTTATTACATGTGAGTCAAATCTCTGCCTAATGTTCCCTGTTGAAATCACCCACCCACTTCTAGCCCACCTTTCCTTTGAACCTTTCTAAGGCCCTTCTCGCTCCCCTCCCCCTAACCTAGAGACTACCTCTCTTGCTTGCCTCTTGATGCCTGAAATCTCTACTTGCATCTCTCTCCAGCAATTCGACATGTGACAGCACTATGCTCGCGCGTTGTCCATGTGGCTGTATTACGCATGTCCCAAGTGAGCTTGAGAAATCCTGTGCTCCTGCCAGAGCTACCTGTTAAAGTCTAACTGCATGTCTCATTCACTGAGAAGGTATCCCAATAGATACCTGCTGAGTAGATGAGAGTAAAGACCATTAATGCCTTTGTACTCCCTGGTCCACCCGGCCCAGGATGGGCGCCTGTAATAGCAAACCTGTGCAATTAGGTTTGTTGAAGGAATAAAACAAAAAGATGATCAAAATATGTTGACAGCACATAGTTCTTTTTATAGATGAGGCACATTCTAGTCAGGTGGGAGAATCTTCCTGTTCTGTTCAGAGGCAGATGAACTCTACGTCAGAGACAGCTATGGCACGTCCATGCTGCAGTGTCATGGGCTCTAAAACGCCAGTATGCTTTTGAGGTTTCCTACGTGGCCCCAAGAATCCTAAGAATCACCCAAGTTACACAGTCACTTGGCACAAGGGGACCTACCTGCAGCAGGCCTGGGATGATGTCGGGGAGCAGCTGCAGCAGGGACTCCTTGGCAAGCCTCTCAACGACTTTGGTCTGCATCTTGATGGCGGCGAGGTTGATGGGGTAGTCAGCTGTCTGGACGATCGGGCAGAGCACTTTGACGCACTGTTCTGGGTGGATGGAGCTGGCCAGCGTGGACGCAGCCTCCTCGGCAGCTCGCACCACCTGAAACACCCGGTGCCCCAGGAGTGAGCCCCACATGCTGTACAAGCAGGACGGCTGGACACCACCAAGTTTACTTTTGGAGATAAATGACAACGGTCTCACTTAATGCTGGGTGACAGCCATCACTTCCTCTGGCTAATCATGTTAATGAAAATAAAAGCTAACTGATTTAGAGGCTCATTTTACAGAGATGGGGACCCCTACAACAATGATGTAGGATCCTGCAGCAGTTTCTCTGGGGACTTGTCAGAAATGTACATTTTCAGGTCCCAGCCCAAGCCTCCTGACCAGGGACTATTTCAATAAACAATGGGGAACCTTTGTCCTAGAAGACGGATAAGGGACTGAATGCAAACATTTCCCTTGAATGGTCCCGGGGATAGCACAGTGCGGAAAGTGGAGAGAAAGCCTGGGTGGGAAACCAGAGGAACCTGAGTACAGATCACAAACATATTTGGCTACTGCTCCCTTTACAGGAAAACAACAACAACAACAACAACAACTTGGTGCCACCCCCCTGCCATGAAAACCTTTTGAACTACACAGCCCTTAGTCCAAGCTAAAGTGTAGGTTTCTGGTTTGGCAGTATCCTGGATGGTCTCAGCCATCATTCATTATTGAATACTACCCTAACCTTTGGTTGCTTATTACCCCACCCCCCAGGGGCAGTGTTGCCCATTTGGGGAAATCATCGGAAAACTCTGCAAGAAGCCTCTGAGAACGCTTTCCTGAAGAGTCTCTTCTGGTAAAAAACTTCCGCAGGAATGTATGCTTACTGTGTATGTAGTGCATAAAATGGCCACCACCTGGCTAAGGGCCGCTGGGAGGAGTTAGTTACCTTCACCTACAGAGGGCCCTTGTGTACACTGAGACCGTTCAGGGCACTACGTGCGTGCCTACAAAGCCACCTCTGGCAGCAAACATGGGCTAGATGGAAAATGCAGTTAGGAAGAAAGAATGGTGTAGAGGCAGCATAGAAAAGAAGCTAGGTAGAAGTCCAAAAGAAAATCTCAGTTACACCATTTACAAGTGCTGGGCTATTTCTCACAGAGTTGATTTGATAAGCAACCAAAGGTTAGGGTAGTATTCAATAATGACAGCTGCACCCCTTCCTAACTTACAGACATGGCTAGTTTCCATGTTACAGTGCAAAACTCAGGATTATGCCAACATGGAGGATTGCCACATCATTAAATCACTGTCAAATCACATTACTACTTCACTGCCAAGCCGTAAGAATGACGGTCTAGCCAAGTTGACACGTGATTTTCTCCATCAATTACTTTCTCCTCACATCTTGCCCTTCATTAACTGCCAATCTACGTCACGAGTGTACAAAATACTGGATAGACTCTTTACTACTAATGTAAATTCAAAACATTGGCTAATTAGGTAGTTGGCATGCGAGTATTTGATGTACTACTAGTACATAAATTCCACATAGAGACAGCTAGGTCATACCGAAGTATGCGTTCCCTTACAAAGCAGCATGAAAATCGAATCTTCTTTGATAACCAGTCTTAGACTGATCACTGCACTTAGTTGCCTCTCCGCTCAGGCCAGCTACTCAGAACTCCTCTCTCTCTGACGCAGTGACACAGCACAGAAGGCCAGTGAAAACAGCTCATGAGCATTTGGAAAGCCTCTTCTAGTTCTGTACAAGAAGTGGATGAGGAGCCAGCCTGAACTAGCCAGGGAGGCTGGAGGACGACAGGAGAGCCTACGCTGAAAGTGAACAGGCCACACCTGGGCTAAGCGATCACGTTTGCTGTTGCCTTGAGCATCTCTCTGTAGGAGGGTGTGAGGTCAAGCCCCAGTTACAGTGTTCAGCCTGATCCTCTGGAGAGCAGAGTTCACTGTATTTCTTAAAGGCTAGATAGACACTTAGAAGCAAAAGAAGAAATATATAGAGTCGCTGTATCAAAAAGTATTGGTTGATGTTCTCCCATTGCAATGGGTAACATATCATCAAGAACGGAAAGTATGGAAAGAAGTCCGTTTTGCAGAATTGACAGCGTTTCAATGGAATGTCTCAACAAATGGACATAGTCTTCAAAGGCTCACTCTCCTATGCCAAGAAACCTGGAGGACAGCTACCTGGCCAGCTGACTGGAGGAGCCCCATATCTGTGCCCGCCCAAAGAAAGGCTACCAAACAGATGAGGAAAATCACCCAACGATATGACTATGATTTGCAAGGGCCATTTTGCTGAAGAACCGCTGCAGCAGCCCTACACTGCCAGGGAGCTGCGAGAAATTCAAGCGAGACTCAGAAGACTCAGAATGAGAAGACATTATTGCTGAAGTGGCATGCACCTTCGCTGAAGGCAGAGAATACCAAAACAAGACTCATTTGTGCTTTACTGACTATGAAAAGGTATTTGGCTGTGTGGCTCATAACAGTAACTATGGGTAACATCGAGACTGGGAATTCCAGAACACCTACTGATGCTCCAGGGGAAGCCGTATACACAGGAAGCAGTTGTTCAGACAGAACAAGGGGACACAGCTTGGTGTAACATCAGGAAAGGCATGGGGCAGGGTTACATCCTCTCACTATACTTAATTTGCATGTCAAGCAGATAATATGAGAAGCTAGACTACATATTCTTCTACTACAAGAAGAATGAGGCATCAATATTGGAGGAAGGCCCATTAACAACCTTCGATATGCAGATGACACAATTTTGCTTGCTGGGAGCGAGGAAGACTTGAAGCACTTGCTGATGAGACAAAGACCACAGAGCTTTGGATTACAACTCACTGTAAACAAAACAACATTTCTCACAACTGGACCCATAGACAACATCATGCTAAGTGGAGGAAAGACTGAAGTTGTCAAGAATTTAATTTTCTCTGGATCCACGATCAACACTAATAGAAGCAGCAGTCAAGAAATCAAATGGCATGACGCACTGGGCAAACCTGCCGCACAAGATCTCTACAAAGTGTTGAAAAGCAAAGATGTCAGTGAGGTGTGCTTGATCCAAGTCACAGTATTTTCACTCACCTCATATGCATGTGAAACTTGGACAATAAGTAAGGAATACTGGTAGATTTGATGTATCTGAATTATAGTGTTGATAGAGAATTCTACAAATATTATGGGCTGTAAGAATAACAAATAAATCTGCCTTGGCAGAAATATAGCCAGAATGCTTCTTAGAAGTAGGGATGGTATCACTCTTGGCCTTCTGCGTATGATCAACAGAAGTAGACGTGAGGATGGTGAGACTTTATCTCATGGTGAGACTTTATCTCATGTACTTTGGACATGTTATCAGGACGGACTAGTCCCTGGAAAACGAAATCATGCTTGGGCAAAAGAGGAAGCACTTCAATGATAGACCCACAATATTAGTTACAACAATGGGCTCTACTATAACAGTTGGGAGAATGGCCCAGGGCCAAGACAGTCATTTGTTCTGCTGTACATAGTAGGGTCACTCTGAACTAGAACGGATTCAATGGCATCTAACCACCACCACCACCACCACCACCACCACCACCACCACCACCACCACCACCACCACCACCACCACCACCACCACCACCACCACCACCACGGACTAGTAGGTTTTTTCACGGGCAAGTTTCTGTTCTGCAATGATCCTATACTTGGCATCTCAAGGTTTAAACAACCAGGGTGGGAAACGGACAAAATGTGTTGACAATGGTTGCAAGATTCTGAGTCACTTTAGTTTCTTTATACTTCAAAAAAGAAAAGAGAAAATATTAACCTCTGCAGTTGAAAGAAACGTTCTTCTGTGATGAGGCCAGTGAGCAGTATAGACCACTGGTTCCAAGAGGAACTGGAATGCTGCACTTCGGAAGGCAGCTCTTCTTGGTGCCATTGATGATGGCGCCGGAATCGAACCTCACCCCTAGCATAGGCAGGTACTTTCTCTGTTAGTATTATTACACCCACTGTAGTGATCATTACTGTTTCTGCTTTCCTGCTACTGTTTCCACTTATTTTCCTTCCCAGCTAATGTGGACCACTCATGCCCCTCATAGGTAGCTGGCACATGCTGCTAAATTCCTCCCCCAGCCTCCTTCTCACACTGATCTCTCTTCCCTCAACTCCGAGGTTTTCTACTTGTGACACATACATGGCACCATAGGTAACAGCTTCGTATTCTTGGTGACACTTTCAGGCTCAAAAGTCCAGCAGCATACGCTGGGAGAGTTCTTTTGTATGCCAAGTACCAACATGGGTTGTTTGCCAGATGCTACCCACTTATTGATGCATTGAATTTCATTCTCTTCCCAAGGATATGTCCTTTTCTAAAGATGGTTTCATAAAGTCGTTCTTTCTTTCTGATTGGAGGTGTTTAATGAGGGTCTTCTAGCTCCTTGAGGCACATATCAGAGGCTGCTGTCATCATTAGCTGCAGTCAATGCTGGCTCATGGCAAGGCCGTGCGTGCAGAGTGTAAATGTTCTACTGTGCTTTCAAGGCTGTGACCTGTTGGAAGCAGACTGTCCCTGGATGGCTCCGACCTAATCATTTCTCTATTAGCAGTCAAGCAGTTAATCCAGGGACACCTTCTCGAAGGCCTAGGATTTCATTAAATAAGAGCACCAGCATCACCTAGCCAGCATATAGGAATGGGATTATGCATTAATTTACTCAAAGGTCAGAATGGAAATGCCACTAACCAGCATGGTTCAAGGGTAAATGCTAGGTACCCTTGGGAAGCAGACTGAAAGTTCAGACTTGTGTGTACAGACCCGTAGATAAGTCATTTTAAGAATCATGTCTCTCTCTTTAGAAGTTCCTAAGGTTCTGAGAACCATGTGTGGTAGTTACATAATCTGGTGTCAATGTGAGAGGATTAAGAGTGAAGGGGTGGAGTTTAGCCTGTCAATCAGGTCTCGGCTTGATGACCTCATTTGGAGATGCTAAGGAGAGAAATAGCTCGCTAGAGGCGAGACACATGCTCACTTCTTGCGAGACATTTCTGTTGACAAGACACATGGAACTATGGAGGAACTCTTG